GAAGACCAGAGGGCAGGCTTGCAGGGTATATCCTTTGGTTGGTTGGTTGATGATGCATGGAGGGGATTGTAACCATGGCAATGAAACAATATACTATAGGATGAATGTAAAACTAATGTTCTCCCATGTAAACTATCACACAATTCACAATAAAACATTTTTTAAAAAGTTGTATGAAAGAATAAAAGACCAGTTTGATTTTTTTTTTGGGGGGGGGCGGGGCTACCTTTTAGGAACCCTGATGGAAAGCAGTAAAAGCGTATTGTATGTATAAAGCCTACAAACAGCAGTGACATTTTGTTTTTCAGGTAACTGACAACTACTATAAAAATTGTTCCAAAATAGTAAAGAGTGTCTTCACTATGTATTTGTTCTTAGATGCCATAGAAAAATGAGTCCCCCTATACCCCTTTTTTTTGATCCTGGGAACTAGGCAGCTGAACATTTTCAAGTTAATTTGCAGCCAATGAACACTTCAACATTATCTCCAGAAGATAATGTCGAGATAAAGTCTTAACAAACCAAACAAAAATTCTGTTCTTTTTCTTGAATAAAAATTTAAAATTCCTAAAGTGAATACAGGCAGTCACTTATTTATGACATATTCAAGTTATGAAAATCCACACTTTTGACCATCTGTTTGGAATTTTTTTGGTATATGTTATCTTTAGTACCATATTTTTCACACAAATATCATACACCCACCTTCTACATTTGTTTGTCAACAGCACGCGGTCCTTGGGAGGTATTTTTAAACACCATGCTATTTTTTTTTTTTACATGTTGTCATAAACAAATTAGCATAATATGCTTATAAAAATTCCTTGGGTAGCGCGGGAGGGAGCAGTTGACAAACATAGAAATCTCACATTATTTGAGGAAAAAAACGGTAATACGTACCACGTAAAAACTCACTACCATCCAGTCAATTCCTACTCATTGTGACCCCGTTCCTACAGCGCCAGCAGGACTCCATATGTACTACACACAATGTTAAAATATATCTATACATTATAATTTATATGTAATATTTCCACCTCCAAAAGCAAAGATCAGATTTATACAGATATTGATATTAAAAGGCAATAATAATGAAAAAAAAAGAAGAGGTAATCAACTTCTATCAGAACGAACATATAAACAGAGTTATCAGAATGGAGACTTTCATAAGATGAGGACTGCCTGTAGATGTCTGCAATGTCCTATAATGAATTCAGCACAATGCAAACAATGATATGATTCAGGGAATTTAAAAGCAGAATTATTTTTTTCTAAGAGAGATGGTTTCCCAAACTTTACATCAAAATGCACTGAGAACAGAGCATGTTTTTGTAAGGCATCCCTAGGATTCCTAAATATTTTTTAAATTGTCTGACACAATCATCTGTTAGGAGTCCTGGGGTGGCACTGTGGGTTAATGCTCTGGACTACAAAGTTGGTTTGAACTGCAAGTTTGGCGGTTCAAGCTCACCAGCTGCTCCATGGAAACCCTATACAGGGTCCTGTGGGTCAGAACAGACTAGACAGCCATTTAACAACAACAACAATGATCATCTGTTAACATATCCATCTTGGATTTTTACCAGAGAGAGATGAAACCCTAATCCTAACAATCCAAACCAAATAAATTTATGGATATTGATAAATGCCTAGTGTTGAATGTACTAATAATTGAGGTTTAAATATCTGTAAAAGAAGAAGGCTTTGTCAATATATCAATTAACAGCCTTGAAAACAGTTCCCAAACTGTAGGTATTATTTATGGAAATAGATCTAAATACAAATCTAATTAATTGCTTTGCAAGAACAGATGGTGAGAGGACATGTTCTTGAAGCTATTTATTACATTTAATGACTCTGCTCCTGCATGCTCTTAGCACATTCCACTAGTACTAAAAGTCCATTAACTTGGTTTCCTCAAATGATTTGTCTTGAGCCTCTTGTGAAACTTGTTTTCAATGTATTCCCAAAGGTTCTGATTCTGAAGATCTGAGGAAGAACCTCAAAATCTCATTTTAATAAAGCACTCCAAGTTACTATGATGCCATTTGTTGACAATCACATTCTGAGATGCACTATCTCAACTGAAAATAAAAACCCATACACTATATCTTACTGTAAGATAATGTCAAATAGATCTTTTATTTTCCTTAGAAAATTAAAGCTATAAAATTTCCAGAAGAAAACATAGGAGAATTCTTTGAAAATTTAAAATGATTCAAAATCCAGAAATAATAAAAGTTAATAAATCTGACTACATAAAAATAGTCTTCTATATGATAAAATATAAAGAGCAAGTGATAAACAGGAAAATATCTATAACTTATATCACATGCTTTTGTGTAAAAGGAGGAATTTAATAATCCTTATTTGTATTTGCTTATGCATGCATAAAGAAGCTTTGGAAAAGCCCATAAAAACCAAGGACACACTGCATATGGCAGAGGCTGACTACTGGTCAGATGGACATCATGAATGAGAGGGTAACTTTTCACTGGATAGCTTTTTTATTTAACTTTTTAATTCATTTTAACTACTTAATTAAAAAAAAAAACTTTTTTTGTTGTGAATTGAATGCAGGTTTATAAAGCAGACCATCATTTTTACATTCAACAAATTATATACTTTGCTTTATTACATGGTTGCAATCCCCTCCATGAACCAACAGTTAATAGCATTTACATCTATTCACTTTAACTCTTAAATTCCTCCTGGTGTCTCCAGCTACCTTCATCTTTCCTCTGATAACCTTCCTCTTGTTGTATATTGTCTGCCCTGTCATACATATTAACATGTGTTTACCCCCTCTAACCCATGAATAATTTTCTATTCAAACACGCCAATGCTTCATTCCACCCCATAACAGTAATAGATTGTTTCTTTTATCAAGAAAACCCTTTTTAAACAACTTTAAAAAAAACCTTTTTAAACCCTTTTTTTACAACATTGGTCTCATACAATGTTTGTCCTTTTGTCATTGACTAATTTCACTCAGCATAATGCCCTCTAGGTTCAACCATGTTGTAAGGAGTTTCATAGATTCATAATTTTTCCTTGTTGTCTAGCATTCTATTATATGTATATATCACCAAAGTTTGCTTAATGTTGTGTATGTACCAAAGTTTGTTTGATGGGCATTTATGCTGTCTCTATCTTTTTTATGTCTCCTGCAGACAGCATATTGAAGGATCCTGTTTTCTTATCCAGTCTGATCTTTGTGTCTCTTGACAGATATATTTAATTCATTTACATTCATTATAATTATTAATAGGTATGAGTTGATTGTTGTCATCTTTCTGTGTGGTCTTTGTGGTGCTGCTGGACTCTGTTCCACATAATTTCTATGCTGAGTTCATTTTGTTTGTGGGGTTTCTTTTCATTTTATTTCTGTGTGTTAATGCCGACTAAATCTTTCTGATTTTCCTTTTTTTTTTTTGAAGTGCAGGTACAGGTATATTATTTTTCTTCGAGGTTACCCTGCAATTTATTAATTTTTCCTTGCTTGAAACAGTCTGTTTTATCTTGAAATCTACCCAACTTCCATTCTATTTGTAAGTTCCGTACTACACTATTCTCT